GTGTGTGTAACCCTAGATTCTTCAACTAGTATTAAAGTACTAAATGAGAAGTGTTACGAAATTTCTTGCATGGGTTACTGGGTCTCAAGAACAAGTAAGTTCACTCAGTATGCAAAGCAATAAGGTGAAACCAGGGAAAAAGAAAATATTTGCCTTTAAGCTCTGCAGAAGAGCTATCCTCTCCTTGACTGCTCCTTTGAGTCCTCAGGTCTGGGGATTTTACCTACCTCCACCAGAACAAAGCTCCTTTTATAGTTTAGGAAAGCTTGTGGCCAGACTAGAGTGGGAAGATTAAAATGGCAATTGCAATGAAATTGAACTTAATGCGGGAACCACAGATCCTGTGTTTCTACAACCTTAGAGGACGAATTGAAATCAACATAGGTAAACCTGGAGTATTGAGGACTGGGCAATCAGGAATATTTAAAATGCAAATAAGCTTCTTGTCTTTAAAAATGTTTTTAAGAAGCGTTGCAGTGGTTTGGTTCACTTAGTCTATTTTGTAGATTCAAAGGGACACTTAGGAGGACAGCATTGTTGTCCCCCACTATATTGTTGTGTTAAAAGGAGATGGCCCTGGAGTCAGACTGCCTAAATCCCAGCTCTGCTTCTTATTAGTTGTGTGAACTTAGTCAAGGTACTGAGATTTCAAATCTCAGTTTCCTCTTCTGAGGATAAGAAGAGAACCTTAGAGAATTGTTATGAGGATTAAATAAGGTAAGGCATGTGAAATCGTTAGCATAGGCTCTGCTGTTCACAGCATTATGCAATAAATATCATTAAAAGCCTTCCAAAATTCCCTTACAGCAGAAAGCAAGTAGCACTGGATCCTTTTGGCTTTTGCTGGGTAATGGCAAGAGCACTGTCATGCTCTTCCACATTCCCCTTTTCTCAGTCCCTTTGCTCTCAATTCCTTCATCCTTCACCTCCCTCATATGGGTCTTATCTGAAACTTTAGGACTTTGTCTTGAGCTTGAGGAGAGGTAATGCATATGTTACCAGAAAGGGGGTCCAATCCAGACCCCAAGAGAGAGTTCTTGGATCTTGCACAAGAAAGAATTTGAGGTGAATCCATAAAATGAAAGCAAGTTTATTAACACTGTAAAGGAATAATATGGCTACCTCATAGGGCTGCCTGACTGAGTATAGTTATAGTTATTTATTGATTATATGATAAACAAGGGATGGCTTATTCATGAGATGTTCAGGAAAGGGTCAGACGATTCCCAGAACTGAGGACTCCTCCTGCTTTTAGAACATATAGGGTAACTTCTGGACGTGGCCATGGAATTTGTAAACTGTCATGGTGCTAGTGGGAGTGTCTTTTAGGCTCCTAATACATTATAATTAGCATATAATGATCAGCTGAGACGACTAGAGATCGCTTTCATTGCCATCTTGGTTTTAGTAGGTTTTGAATGCCTTCTATACTGCATCCTGTTTTATCAGCAAGGTCTTTGTGACCTGTACCTTGTGCTAACTCCTAACTCATCCTGTGACTGCGAACACCTGCTGTCCTGGGAATGTAGCCCAGTAGGTCTCAGTCTTTATTTATTTATTTATTTACTTATTTTTTGAGATGGAGTTTCACTCTTGTCACCCAAGCTGGAGTACGGTGGTGCGATCTCGGTTCATTGCAACCTCTGCTTCCTGGATTCGAGAGCTTCTCCTGCCTCAGCCTCCAGAGTAGCTGGGATGACAGGCATGCGCCACCACACTGGCTAATTTTTTGTATTTTTAGTAGAGACAGGGTTTCACGATGTTGGCCAGGCTGGTCTCAAACTCCTGACCTCAGGTGATCCACCTGCCTCGGCCTACCAAAGTGCTGGCATTACAGGTGTGAGTCACTGTGCCTGGCCAGTCTCAGCCTTATTTTACTCAACCTCTATTGAAGATGGAGTCACCCTGGTTCAAATGCCTCTGATACATTGAAGAGTAACTTATACTCTTCTCCCAAATTCTACTGAACAAACCTTGAGAAGAGTGAAATATTTTTCTAGAATGTAAACCTAATTCATTATAGAAAATTGAAGTAGGATCCTGTAAGGCTACCTGTGGGTGGTGGGGTGTGTGTGTGTGTGTGTGTGTGTGTGTGTTGGACAAGTGGTAGTGAAGATGATGGTTGTGGTTGTGATGATGGAGAACGAAAATTGCAACTACTGTGTGTAGTACCTTGACTGCCATTATACCTTAATTTTGGAAAGGAGCTCCAGAAGCTTTTACGCTCTCAGAGCTCTCAGAGGTGAAATGCACAATATATATTTATCATTATCATGGCTCTTTTGTGATCCCTGAACAATAGATGCATGAAGAGCTCCTGAATGAATTTCTAATTGAAATGGCTTTTTCAGTAGGGACTTTCCATTTGCTTCTAGCTTCCTCCAGGTTGTCAGTCCTCTCTTTATTTATAAGTTTTAATACTATTTTTGAAAGCAGGATAACACCCATCAGGGCTGCAGCAGTCCAGTTGTGCAAGGCATTTAATGCCCAGTCACGCAGTCTGAATCCAACCTGAAGTCTGCTTGTCGAGCCATTAGCCTTACCCCTGTGGCGTCTGCCTGGAGAAGGAAAGCTTTTTTACCTCCTAATTCTCACAAAAGTCCAGCGTGGGATGGTGCAGTCCTCACCATTTAGCCATCTGATGCTCTCCCCTCTCTAAGGGTAATATTGAAGCACACACAAGATACTGGACTGTGCCACCCCACTGAGCTCCAGCTTACATTGCAAGAAGCTGCAAATCTGTTAATGCACTTTCAAACCCATGCACTGCCTTCTCTTTTCCTTATCCCTGAAGGGAAGTATTTTTAGTCCTAGATGCTGAAACTACTGTGATTCAAAACCTTTTAGTAACTTTCTTTGGAATGCTGATGAGTTAAAACCAGAATTAAACAAAACTAGAAAATACTTTTAAAGTAACATTTAATGAATACACATTTACAAAAGTCATCATCCCTTAACATGCGGAAAGTGCACAAAAATAATATGAAAGTACAAAAATTTTTCTAGAATACAGGAAACATATCAGCAGTAAAGAAGTTTAGTTTAACTTTTGTTTTAATGTAAAATAGTTTGGATCTGTTAAAAGGAATACTGTTCACCCAAAGCACCTATTTTCATCTGTTGTAAACTCATTTTTTCTACCTTAAGTAAACTGGAGGAGTCAGCTGTGTTAATATGGTCAAATTAATTCCATGGTTTTGGGAGGAGGGAGGTTGTGGGAAGGACAGAAGGAGAACTTGGGCTTTCTTTGGTCAGCTGGTGGGGCTTGGAGCTCTTGTGGTTGGGGCCAAAGGTCAGGTTTGGCAATGCAGCTGTTATGCCAAAACCACCAGAGTGCTCTTTAGCTTCAGGCTTCATGGATTGCTTTTAAGTACTCAGGTAGAGCATTTTTACTAGGCTATAAAAGTAGAGTTCATTTTTTTCTATAGGTCAGCATTTTACCTATGAATGGCATTTTCTATTTTTGGTGATGGACTGTGAGCCAGGATAAACACATTACTCCTTTCTTTAACAAAAAAGAGCATGGTTAACTCCAAAGGCTTCTCTAGACCAACCTGAATGATACTTAAACTTTAATCAACCAATGCTCAAGTCAAAGAGCAGTATCCAGCCCCGGTACACCTGACTGTTCTGCATAACATAGATGAGTAGTGACATTTTCCCTGTCTTTTCCACTGATACTGTAGGTTCAGCACCATATAACATGACTCTACTCAATGTCTTCCAGCTTTTTGTATTCTTGCTTGGGTTTATCAAAGATAAGTTGAAGGAGCATGTGTTCTGTGTACCTTTGCAACTAGTTTTAAATAAACACAAATTGAAATAAAAAAGACTATCTACAATAGTGTGATGAAAGCAACACCCTCATCCAATGGTAATGAAATTGATAAGGTCACTTTAGAAATGACTTGGCAATATATAGCAAATGCTAGTAAAAGTTGTTTAATTCTATACTCCCAATTCTTGGCAGGTATTCTGAGGAAATAATTAAAAATATGGAAAAACATTATTAGTGCAAAGATACCTGAAATGTTACTTGTTTTAGTAAAAAAAATGGATATAGTCTACATGTTTAATAAGGAAAGAGGTTTGAAAAATGCCTATTTGATGTGATATTATGCAGCCATTAAGAAAATATATCACGTAAGGCCAGACTAATGCCTGTAATCCCAGTGCTTTGTGAGGCAGAGGCAGGTAGATCACTTGTGGCCAGCAGTTCAAGACCAGCCTGACCAATGTGGTGAAACCCTATCTGTACTAAAAGTACAAAAATTAGCTAGGCATAGTGGCATATGCCTGTAGTCCCAGCTACTCGGGAGGCTGATGCACAAGAATCGCTTGAACCTGGGAGAAGGAGGTTGCAGTGAGCTGAGATTGTGCCATTGCACTCCAGCCTGAGCAACAGAGCAAGACTGTCTCAAAAAAATAAAAGATAATAAAAAAAGGAAAACAAAGCCTCTAGAAAAACAAAGCCTTTAAAAAAGGATGTAAAATTAAATATATAAGGTAGACAGAATTATTTTCAAAAAGTTTTATAGAAAAATATCCTGGATTGTTGATGTTGTTTTAATATATTTTAATCATTTTTGTATAATGTCATGTATAATACGTTATAATGAAAGTAAAAAAAAAAAAAAAGGTCTTAGTAGATCAGGCAGAAAAATGCCAAACTCAGTGCCTATTGGTTATTTTGGTATGTGGGAAGATCATGCATAAGGCTCCTTTTAGCTCCATGCTTGAGCTAGGAAAGTTAATCCCCCTGCAGGTCACCTTGGAAAGGGTACTATCAGCACAGAAAAACAGTGAGAACCATCCTAAATTTCAGCAAGGATTTGAGAAAGATCCACATAATGACGAATCTTCACACCTCTCTGCCCCATGACTTTCCGTAATTTTCGATCATCTATGCATTGTTCAAATTTATACCTGCAGATTATTTATTTAATTTTACTGCTTACAATTATAACAGACTAAGACAGGTATAGAAGCTACTTATTTATACTAGAAATTAATAGATGGCAAATATTGAATAATATTTGGAATATAAAATTTACAAAGCATCTTATAATACCTAAATAATACTAAACCTAATATAGTGCAACTTTACAATGTTTATTTAGCTTGCTGTCTAAAATTCTGGTTCATTTGAACTTTTTGATCCAGAACTTTTATCAACCCTTCTTTGCTAATGCACAATGCAAGTGAAATCCAAGTGGATATCCCTCCATTTTTATTCAATCTTTCCTATACCTATTCTTTGTAGAGGAAGAATTACATGCCAACTCTATAGATTTGCATGTATCCAAGACATGGTTACTTTTAATCAATTGTAAATTTTTCTTGTGTTATAAAAATAGTTCCCTTCAGTAAATATCTGTATTGAGAATAGCAAAGTCAAGGTGTCATTTCACTAGAATTCATCATGGTAATATTTATGTTTGCCTTTACTTCCAAAAAACAACAAAAAAACTCATTCCCTTTTCACATTTCATGTGACCCACTTCTTCAGATATACCTAGTAAAGCCTTTATCAGTGGTCACCATTGTGCTGTTTTTCCTTTCACTTAACTCAGCCCTTGAGCCAGAGAAGGAAGTTGCACATACTTCTACTGGATTTTGCAAGATATTAGGTCATACATGTTGCCCATAGTAAGGAAACTCTTTAGTGTAAAACCACAAAGCTAATTTCAATCTCAGCCCCATAGCCTCCGGGAAAATAAGAGGCAGGGATCTGCACTGATTCTTCACTAACCTGAGATAAAATGGTGATCTCTTCCAGTATGTCAATTTCTCAAACACAGGCAGTGTTTCCTTCAGTCACGGTGTAAGAAAAAAGCTTTCCTAACTATATCCATCATTCTTCTTTAAACATTCAACACTGTAGTTCAGAACTCCATCTCCATGTAAATTGAACTTTGTTTTAAATATTTGATTTTCCATTCAATGCTGATTTCTAGTGTTTTGAGTTCCTTTCCCAGCCCTGGCGGATCCTTGTAAGGGTGTTGTCTACACATGGCATGATTAGGACAAACTTGATCACCAGCACGGTGCAAGGAATGATGAGCCCTAACACATAGGCTGCAGGAAGATACCATTTGAGATTTGAAGGGCTGAGGAATCTCTTCCCACCGTACACCAGGGTATGGGCTGTACACAAGATCAGGGTCAAATAACCCAGTTTGGACTATAAACAAGAAACAAAAATATGTAAGTTAACATTATTTACATCTTAAAGTGAAACACTCTAAGCCAGTGATGGATATTTGTCAACAATCACAAACATTTGAGACCTATAATGTTTAGGACACTTTGTTAAGTACTGAAAAAAAGCACTAACCCTTCCTCAGGATGGTAAATACTTCATTTAAAACAAGATCATTGCTTACAAATGACATAGTAGCTTCACCTTAACCTAGCTGGATGGAAAAAAGTTTCCCAGGAGTAAACTCTTCCAAGTTAGAATAAATCATTAGCTTGCCTTGGTTCCCAAAGGTGAAACTCTTTTATTTATCATCTTTTCTAGAGGTCAGAAATGAATATGACACAGTATGACCTCAAGAAGCACCATCTTAGTATATGTTACTGACTAAAACCAGATCCTAGCTCATTTCTATCACAACAAAGAGCAATAGCCAATCTTACTTGTTTCAGCCTACATTTTAAAGCTTATTGTTTATTTCGACCTTAATACTTTGAACAAAAGTGTTAATGAGAACATGTTGACTGAATTTGGTCCCTGGGAGAAATTGCAAGACTTAAGATTCCAATAGTTCTAAAAAATTCTAAACTGATTTTAAAGACTAATGGTCTTTTCTATTATACTCATAATAAGCATGCATCGGAATCATCTTGAAGGCTCATTAAATTTCTGGGCCACATTTTCAGAGTTTCTGATTCAGTAGGCCTGGGCGTGGCCTGGGTTTTGTGTATCTAACAAGTTTCCAGGTGATGCAGATGCTGCTGGTCCTACTCAAAGTGCCATACTTTGAGGACCACTGGTCTACAAGAATGTGTAGTTACTAACTGCCTTTAAAGAGGGGTTGGTTGGTGGTTGACATGTGGAAGAAAACAATTTTCCCTCTTATAGGAGAGCATTAAGTCTTCGGGTGTGATGATATCTATCAAGTCTTGCTGTGAAGATTTTAAACTTTATCTCAACATCTGGTTTTCCATATCTATATGTCCATGTTGTAAGGTTAATTTTTAGATGGTGAAATTTTGTCTTGGGGTTTCTTTTCACCTTGTACCTAGTACATCTCCTCACATAAATCATAATAGTTCTTGGTACTTTTCACCCTATAGTCTTAGCTGTAGATCTGGAGGCAGTCAGGAATCTTGGCAAGCATTAAGAAATCAAACCATTATGGATTCTGCCTTTTGTACCTTGGTTCAATGTTTTCTAATTTGAATTTTTAAATGTGATTGCTAGGGAAGTGATGGAGCAAAATGAAAAGTTAGGCATGATCTTGAAGTTCTTACCTGGACAAATCGAAACTCTCTCCAGTTGACTGCATTGCTAACAGATGGCAAAGAAGTGATTCCCAAGAGTACAAACAGAAAAAATCCAAGTATTCCCAAAGCCACATATGAATCACTAAGCCAGGCTGAGGAGGTACTAAATGGATTCTCCTTCTTGAGTATTGCCTAAGAAAAATTATAAGCAATTATAAAACTACATTTTTATAAACTGCCCACACTTTGAAGGGGACTGAAAAATACCTCTGCATGAATTATTTGCTCAAAGCAAATTGTATGGCATTTCTTAAAAATTATTTTAAAATAACTTCAGTGAAAAATGCACTTAGAAATTGCATTTTTTGGCCAAAAAAAAAAAAAAGTAATTGGTTCTGTTTGGACTTGATTCTAGGAGTTGTGTAGAAAGTTTTGATTTTCCCTGTAAATTCTAAAAGACAGTAAACACTCACTTATACCTTCATTACCATCTGCATTTTGACCCCCAAGCAAAACTTGATGCTCTCAAACAATTACATCAGAATTCTGTTTTTCTGCTTTGTATGTGGATTACTCACACTCTCACAGCAGGTTCTTTCACGTTTGTTCTGTCATAATATAATACATCAGTCTTGCACCACAAGTTGAGAGGAATCAGACACTTGTAGTGTGACTCTTACCCAGGAAACTTACATATATTTCTTAGGAAAATAATAGAGAAACCCATAGAAGCAACATTAATGACTAATAATTTTTGAGACTGAAGTAAGATCTATCAAAACTAGCTATTTCTAAACTAGAACTGACTTATAGCACTTCCTCTGGGAGTTTTTTAAAACTCCTTCAGCTGATTCTCACTGAATCTTTTGATTATGCATAAGATAATATTTGATATTTGCTCAGAATTATTTGGTTTTCTAGTTATTGAGGCCAACTTCTCCAAGTCAAACATTAAGGGAATTATAAGCACTCTTTTGTGAATTTGTTTGCTTTAGTGTGGCACATGTTTGGTTAGCCCCCTTACTTATAAGATGGTTGGTTTTGACTTCCAAAAGGAAGTAACATGCATAAGAATAGAAGCTTGAAAACACATTAGTTAACATTTGACTGCCAACCAGAGGGATTCAAGCAGGTGTCTTTAGGTTTCTTGAGCCATGAAATCTGTCGGTTTGCCAATATCTCTATGAGCCTTGCAAATACAGATCTGGACCCAAGTGAACCTGAAAAGTAAATATTTATTCTTTTTTTTTTTTTTTTTTTGAGATGGAGTCTTGCTCTGTCACCCAGGCTGGAGTGCAGTGGCATGATCTGGGCTCACTGCAACCTCCACCTCCTGGGTTTAAGCGAGTCTCCTGCCTCAGCCTCCCAGGTAGCTGGGATTACAGGTGCCCACCACCATGCCCAGCTAATTTTTGTATTTTTAGTAGAGATGGGGTTTCACCATGTTGGGGCCAGGATGGTTTTGATCTCTTGACCTCATGATTCACCCACCTCAGCATCCCAAAGTGCTGGGATTACAGGCATGAACCACCACACCCAGCAAACTTTTATTCTTAATAGTTGTATGAGATCTAAGCTGGATTCATTTTAAAAAACTGACATGACATTTCTAATTCTAGTTACTTTAAAAAAGAAGATGCTTAGAAGAGTGACTTTCTATAATTATGAAATGGAATATGATGTAGCAATAGTCTCTGATTTCAGGAGTAGAGGAAAATACATAAGAAGAGATTTACCTGGGTAACGGTTAGGTTTCCCGACCTCCATCGTACATAATATCGAATAGGAATCACAAGTGTGTAGAGGACATGAAGGAAGGCAAATCCCAGAGCCAGCAAGCCAAGCTGCTTTCGGCAAAGCATCCAGTGGTCCAGCCAGTCTGGGAATCGACGGTATTTTGTGCCTCGGTACAGTTGTAGAATGGCAGCAATAACACCAGGGAGGTAAACCAAAGCAAGCAGTGTAAGTGCTGTTATTGGAAAGACACGATTTGGAATGGAAATAGCCATACGAAATGTATTATCTTTCTTTTCATAAACGTAAGGGTAGATTACGTCTCTTATAACACAATAGAAAAACAAGAAGATACACAGAACAGCAGACAAATAGAAGGGGAACCTCCACATTGGAAATAGTTGCAGGGGGTACTTTTCAATTTCTTTGGCTGCTGTGAGTGATCCTTGATCCATTGGAGTAAGTCCAAGATTACGAACAATATCCATCACTCTTTGCTTGGCTTTGCTGTCATTTCCACACACAAATACCTGGTTTAAAAACAATTAATTCTGTATTTACTCCTTTTCTTTATTTAATAATTATTTTGAAAGGCTACAACAGCACCATGCAGAATGATGACATGTGACAGTGAACCGTTTTTAAAATAAGGACGTAGAATTAACATATCTAACAAGATGCTTTAAACTTGTTTGTGGTGTCCTAGATAGGTAAGTACCATGGTTTTTAGTTGATGATGGTTTTAGGCACATCATACTTATATAAGACCTGGTTCTCTGCATAATGAGTAGTTTGATCTTTCTTCTGTATTTGTGGTGCCGCATCACTTATGAATGCTTCTAATCTCAGTGCATAAATGGAACCAGTTTCATACAAGGTAATGGAAGTAGAAAAGGATATTCACCAAGTATTAGTTTCTAGTACTGACAAGAAGCCTCCAGAGGCTGACACCATGGGGTTCCATCAAACTAAAATCTGAGGGTGCATACAGTGGGAGATGAATTGCAACAGTTGACCACCTTACTTGGTCAAGCTCAAGAAAATTATTCACAACACATATTAGCAAAATGTAATATTTAGTGGGTATTTGATCTTGGAATTATATTTTAGAATCTTTGAGGAAAGTGCACATTTAATGATTCATTTTTTAAAGATTGAGTGTAGATTTGTTTAATCTTACCTGCCGACTTGCATCCAGTGCTCCTGACTGGAGAGCCCAGGCTGAGATGGTGTTAAATGCTTTTACCACGTGGGCTCCTGGCACCAACTGAGCAAGGTACTCTGCATTAGACTCTGGATACTGATTGATTTTGAGGTTGTTGCTGATATCTACCAATATTTTTCCATTGAGAACCTCAGTTAATTCTGTGAGAAAATCATAATGCTCTCTGTGGATTGCTATGATTATGATGTCAGACTTCTTGGCTGCTTCTGAATAGCTCAAGACTTCTGCACCATTGGGCAGTAGATTGTTCTTCTGGGGGTTTCGACTTCCAAAAACAATAGAATAACCACACTGGAGCATTTTCAATCCCAATGATCTTCCAAAATCACCAGTTCCAAAAATACATACAATCTCTTGCTTTTCTGAAGAATTCATAGTAAGAGGAAGTGCATCTATACAAGTTTTCTCCATAACTGAAAAATAATAACACAAATGCCCAACAAAATATAAATGTGCTGTGCATGGAAAATTAAAGAGAGCTATATCCAGGAAGTATAGTAATTGACTTGTTCTAATCTAATTGTCTTAACTATATTTACCCCCAAATTTGGAAGGAGTGAAAATTGTCATATATATTCTCATATGTGTCTTATGTAACAAAATCACTGGTGAAAAGCTTCCGTTTGATAAAAGGATACAGGACAAAATCTGACCAAAAAATGCACCAATAAATTATAGATGAATTCACTTGTTTAGTGATACAAAAAAACCTAAATAAAACATTAGCAAACAGAATCCAGCAACTTGTTAATAGAAGGTATATGTTGATCATATGGGGATTATTCTACAAATGTGAAGATCAGCTCTACAAGTTCAATTTTAGAAACTTCATTAATAGAACTTAAAAGATTAAAATTTAATCTTATATTAAAGGATTTAAGGAAAATGTCCATCTTATTTGTGTATGTTAAAAAAGACATCTGTTAAAATTCAATATTTATTCTTGATTCACAGTGAAAGAGAAATACATAGATATTTCCTTAACATATAAAAGTTATTGATCTTAACCTAAAATTCAGCATTATGCCTAAAAACATGAGTAGAAACATTTCCAACAAAGTCAGGAATCAGACAAATATGTCTGCTATGACCACTTTAGTTATTGTTCTGGAAGTTCTAACTAACATAACTGGATCAGAGAAAGAAATCAGAGGTACAGAAATTCAAGAGGGATTCCAGATGATCAAACAAGGGAAAATCAACCAAAAAAGTATCATACATATTGAAACAATTCAACATCTGGTCTGGGAACTAGATTAAAATCAATATTCTTCATATATTAAAAAAGAAACCAGTAAGAAGATTTAATCCATGAAAGGATCCTACTTATAGCTGCAACAAAATAAAGACAATATGTAACAAGATAGCAAGGTATGTGCAACATCTATATGAGAAATATTTTAAATGCTCTTAAGAATCAGGAGAAGAAAATTTATATAAATGAAAATGTACAGCATGTTCTTGGATGGCAAGGCTCACAAGATGTCAGTTTTCCCTAATTTAATCTATAAATTCTGAAAAGTAGGTTAATAAATGGGATGCTAGTCATATTAAATATTAACACTTTTATAAAGCCAAAATAATTAAATAATGTGGTACTATCAAAGAAATAGATAAAGTTCTGGACAGGAACAGTGGCTCATGCCTGTAATCCCAGCACTTTGGGAGGCCAAGGCAGGTGGATCACTTGAGGCCAGGAGTTTGAAACCAGCCTGGCTGACATAGTGAAATCCCATCTCTACTAAAAATACAAATATTAGCCAGGTGTAGTGACAGGCGCCTGTAATCCCAGCTACTCAGGAGGCCACTGCACTCCAGCCTGAGCAACAGAGAGAGACTTTGTGTCCAAAAAAAAAAAAAAAAGAAAAGAAAAAGAAAAAAGAAAGTAGACAAATTTTAATGAATGAGTTTAAAAAAATTCAGAAATGGACCCAAACACATGATAAATAGCATCTCAGGTCAATGAGAAAACAGATTATTTAATAGCTAATGTTGTAATGACCCAACAGGTTCACTTTGCCTGTTATCTAGACAGAGCTGATTTATTCAAATGAAAGAACATTTCAGCTCTTTAGGAGAGTCCCGAAATTTCCTTTATTTTAATGTCATAATCTCCAAGGTTATCAGAAACTTGCATTCAAGAGCACCTGTCAAAGTTTTACAGCTGATTATAAAACCATCTCCTAAAGAGGACCAAATCAAGATAACAATTGTCTGCAGATGACAGAAATGTTTTAGGGAAGCCACAATCAAAGAAATTGACAAGGAAACTTGTTATCTCTGTGGCACACAAAAATTCAATGTAACAATTGTAGTTATTACTGATAACATATACTGAGGCATATTAGAATTATAGAAATCTTATACAATTTTATAACACATACTAATAACATGTTTATATGACTATAACTCAAAGAAAGTTAAACACCATTTTATATTTGACAATGTTTCTTAAATGATTTTAATACATTAAATAAGCCCAATATATCTTTTTGAACTTTAGGAGATCTAATTTTTTTTTTTAACTTAGAATTTGATCTTGGAAGGTTTGTCAAATATCAAAGGTTTAAAACACTGGATATCACAAAATAGAGTCCCATGTCACCAGAAGTTATTCATTTACTCAAAATGACAACTCAGGGCTGGGCATAGTGGTGCACACCTATAGTCCTAGCTACACTGAGACTGAGACATGAGAATTGCTTGAACTTGGGAGGTGGAGGTTGCAGTGAGCCGAGATCGCACCACTGCACACCAGCCTGGGTGACAGAGCGAGAGTCTGTCCCCTGCCCCCAGAAAATTGCTGGCAGCAATTCCTTCAGAGCCCTCCACGCATATAAACACACACACACACACACACACACACACACACACAATGTAAGACGAACAGAAGGCCTTCAAGACACAGATTCCAGACCCAGTCTCAAACCAAGAGTAGTCCTCCAGACAAGTTCCTTATTCTCTGTCCAATTAGATACCCGCTAATGGGGCTACAGACAGACACTCTGTAATGGGGCTACAGCTACACACACCTTGTAATGGAGCTACAGGCAGATACCTTGTGATGGGGCTATAGATAGACACTCTGGGAGGTTACTAAGAGACAGCAGCACCTCCAGAGAGGCCAATAAATCAGGAGAAGGAAGGGGCTGTTGGTAGCTGACTGGAATACTCACCAAATCAGACACCTCGCATGGAGGCTACAGCTACAGACACCCAGTGATGAGGCTACAGTTATGGGATATCTCCCTAGCATTATTTCTCCACTACCATTGAATCCATGCATATTGGGTCAGCAGCACCCCACTGGCAGAGAGTGCCAGAGTCAGCCCCTAGTCCAAGAGAACTAGGCAGCCACTTGGGCTGGCCTCCGGATCCATCATCAGAGGTGGGCTACACAGCAGGTAACCACAAAGGCAATCCTGGTCGAGCCCCCAAATTTGTAACTGCCCAGTGGGTTCACCTTGCCTGCTACCTAGACAGAGCTGATTTATCATGACAGGGGGATTGCAGTGGAGAAGGAGTAATCCAGGCATAGCTGGCTGTACAGGAGATGCGAGTATTATTATTACACAAATCAGTTTCCTGGAGCATGAAGATCAAAGTTCTTAAAGATAATTTAAATTAAAGTAGGAGCTTGGAAGTAGGGAGTGCTGATTAGTCACATTGGAGATGGACTCATAAAGGGGATCGCAGAACTGGTTGAGCCAGATTACCAACTTGGGTGATGTCAGCTGATCCATCCAGTGCAGGGTCTGCAAAATATCTGAAGCACTGATCTTAGGTTTTACAATAGTAATGCTATCCATAGGAGCAATGTGGGGAAGGTCAGACTCTTGCAGCCAGAGGCTGCATGACCCCTAAAATGTACTAACTAATCATGTAGTTAATTTGTTAGTCCCACAAAGGCAGACTGGTCCCCAGGCAAGAAGTGGGTCTTTTTGGGAAAAGGGACATCATCAATTTTGTTTCAGAGTCAAACCATAAACTAAATTCCTTCCTAAGGTTAGTTCTGCCTACACCCAGGAATGAACAAAGACAGCTTAAAGGTTAGAAGCAAGATGGAGTCAGTTAGGTCTGATCTGTGTCACTGTCATAATTTCTTGAGTTATAATTTTTGCAAAGGTGGTTTCAATGTTGAGGCAATTCAACAGCTACCTGAAAGAAAAAAATAAATTTATACCTTATACTCCACCCCAAGGTAAATTCAAAATAAATGAAAAATTTATTTTTTAAAAAATGAAACTAGAACAGAACTAGAAGAAACCATAGAACATTCTTTCATAATCTTAGAGGGGAAGGTCCTTTTCCTACATCATTAAACCATTAACAAATAGTTGGACAAATGTGATTGCATAAAAATAAATAGGTTCTGCAGTGCAAAACCCACTAAGCAATGTCAGAATGAAGATAATCAACAAACTGGCAAAAATATTTTCAACTCATATAAATCAATGAGAAAAAAACAATTGCCCATTAGAAAATTGGGCAAAGTATATGAGCTGATAGTTTGTCCTAAGGAAATATATAAAAGACTTTTAAACACAGTAAAAGATTCTTAATATTACCCAAAACTAAAAAAAGAAGTATGTTAAAACTAAACTGAAATACTGTTATGAATCATGTGACTGTTTGTAAAATTTAAATAAAAAACCAGTTTCTATGATCTGCAATAATCTAGGTTGCTTTCTATACTTTTGAAGAATATTTTTTCTTCAGTGTTGAGTTTTTCTCAAAATCTTTCTTTCCCAATATTTAGTTTAAGCTTTCAGTTGATCTTTTATTTTTTTGGTGCATGCGTGTGTGTGTGTGTGTGTGTGTGTCTATTGTTCGATGATGTATCTTCAGTGCTCAGAAAAGGACTAACTACCACAGTCTAGGAATGTATAAATATTCGTTGAACAACATTAAAAGGGTAGGATGAAGGGGCTGCAAGTAGAAAAGTTTACTCTGTGTCCCAGGCACAGTGTGAGATAAATAAAGAGGAAGATGCTGAATGATTAAAGAGTAACCAATGGAGAAGAGTAAGAAAGAAGGAAAGAGGCGGAAGAGACGTTGTAAGAACATTATTTCTTTCACCTAAACGGGTTGAAAGTAAAACTCTGTGAATTTGATGCAGAATTTTCAAAGCACATGTAATCACTACTCAATTCTCCTATGGTGGATTTCATGCAGATTGCACAGTGTATGTGGGGTTTGCACCTTTTTCCTGGCGTTTCAGAAATTTGTGCTTTCCATTTTAACCTATCAAAAACACCTATATTCTTACCTGAGCTTATCTGAAATTGCATGCCTCTACCACAAGCAGAGCATTTAGGTCTTTGTAGGGAGGTAGAAGTTATGGGAGTAAGGGACAAGAAAGACAGGACATTCCTGCACTCCCACAGAAACTCTGAATAATCTAATTAAATAC